TTAATTCATATTAATGAATATTCAAGGAAATAGCAGTGTTTGTTTTAATATTAGATTTTAAGAAGGAGAATCGTTTCTCGTATAAGTTAAGTAAGTACAGCTGTAGACTGATAGAAAAATTAACAAGCTCATACTGCTTTCTAGTTCTTTAAATCTGGTACTTTCCTCTATCCCTCTGCTTCATCAGCTCTTCATCTCTTTTTAAAGTCTCGCTGGAAAACTAATTTCCCCCTTGCCTCTACTGCTTGGTTATTTTCTCTCTTTTATTTATTAATTCAACTCTAAATAATACTGGAATGGAGGAAAAGTCATATCTGACATCCTACATATCCTGTCCACTCACTGTCATATGGAGGTGGGTTAAAATTTTTATGTGAAAACTGCTTGTGCGTTGCAAATTGAGTCTGCCAACAAATTGAAGTATTTTGTCAAAGGGATTTGGCTTTAGTGTAAATTTCATCAAAAGACAAGAAAGTGAAGAAACATCAGCCAGCCCCTCCATCCTACATCCTGCTCCAAAAGATATTCTCTATTTGGAGATGTCATTGCAATGCCTTGGGATATTGCTTGGGTACATCCTATTAAAAGCTCTTCTCTATAGACCGGCTTCCTCAGCTAATTATATATTATCTTGTGTGTAACAGAAAATATAATGCAGCTGGTGTATTTGGGCCATATGGGAGAACTTAAACTTAATACAGCTGCTGATATGTATACAGCTTGGTATGCTTAATACAGCTCTCAGGGAGCATTAATTTTTGATGATTAACTTTAAGGGTTTGGGTGGAAAAGGGGAGGAATAAGCATTTTCCAGTTCAACTGCATAACCTGAAGTGCAGCTGGTATGGTTTATATCCACTGCGTACTGTGTTTCCTTTCCCGTGAGGGAATTCCTACAGAAGGACTCAGCTTCATTACAAGGCTGTAACAAGGCCATATCTTATCCCACTCCTCCATTTGACTCGAACATGGGACCTTTTTGGCGAGAGGTAAATAGATTACGATGCTCTGGAATCTTTCAAAAAGTAAAAGTTGGTCAGTGTCTGAGTAATAGTTTCAAAGTGTAAAAGAAAAGTTGATTACTATTAGCAAAGAAACTGTGATTATATTGATACCTGGAGTTTGATTTTTAAAGGGAAAGACAATACTGCCTATGAGAGATTTTTTTTCTTTTAAAAGTACTGGGCTGTTTGTAGAAGATATTAAAGGATTATAAAATAGAATGGATAGATAACAAATTGCAGAATAGGGTAGACATCCTGTATCAACAGAGATAATTTGCAAATATTTAGTATCTATGAAGACTACAAAGAAGGTCTACGAAGAAATGCTTTTCAGAATACATCTTCGATCTCTAAGGTCAAACATTTAACAGATTTTTTCTGTGTTGCTGTAAAGACTCACTTATCGTCTAAGGTGACAAATGTTGCTAACTGTATAGTTTTCAGAATGATTCATAATCTAGCAGAAATAAGATATTTCAAATACTAGGCCTCAACATACAGTATTATTTCAGGATCATGATATTCTCTCTCTGGTTATATCAAATAACTATTCAAGCAATGGAAAACCTTTTCTTTTTACTGTGACAAAAACTCACAGCATCTTGGACTGAATGTCTAGGAAATTTTGTTCTCTCTCTAATTATGTCCTAGGTCAGCTTATGTTCACTGCATTTTTGGCTGAAAAGCTGCAGAACAAAGTGACCTCTTGTCAGCCAACCACATAAATATGTAAGAGTGTATTCCTAAATAAGAAACTAAAAATCTGTACGATCTATATAGAATTGGCTCACAAAAAAAGTTTTGTTATTTTCTCAAGATTTTCATTTTTAGAGACAGATTGAAAGCCAAACAATATTTTGTAAGTTATGATTCTGAGTATTTTACAGCAATTCACTTAAGAAATGAAGGTCATATGAAAGGTGCTTTAAAGCAGACAAATTACTGAGTTGCTTTAGTGTATTTTTAAATTAATGTATGTGTTCCATACTTGTAGCTTATTGATAGCCTTGTGTAACTTTCCTTCTCTATTTATTTCTTTATTATTTGGTAGAGTCTTTCTCAGAAGATGTGAATATTTTTCACAGAGAGGGCTTAATCTTTCAATAGTTCTCTGTGTGCAATTTGTATTGCACAAGAGTGCAAATGTAAGTTTTTTGCATGTTTAGCACAGTCTAGCCTCCTTGCTTGTTCTGGATACACATGGAAAGATGCATCTCTATGTTCTGGGTTCACCGTCACTAATTTGTCTTACTTATAAAATTGTTGGAAACTGCCCCATTTTGTGGAGTGCTCATGGTAGTTTATTAGACAGCTTCCTGATTTCTGTAAGTTTACATGTCTTTTGTGAAACCTTGCGAGTACATGGCAGGATATGACTTCCATCTATGAGCTGCAGAATTCCTACTGGTTATAATTAAAAGCACGCATGCTTCCCTAGCATGCTCCCCAATGTCATCTTGATAATTTTGCAAATGTCAACAAGGTACCTGATAAGAAATAGCAGTTCATACTTGTGAAATTTTACAATCCTGCATAGTTCTTCAGAATTTCACAAAGTTAAGAAACTGATACAATCTATTGAAACTGGGTTATTTAGTGTTTGTATTTGATGGAGACATTCCATTTCTTGTATTGCATATAAGAACAAAGCCTTTTTTCTTTTTTAAACATAAATGACAGGTAAAAAGGGATAAGGATAGGACTGCAAAAGCTGTTCTATTTACTAATTAGTGTGTTTATTAGTACCTAAGGATACAGTTTTCTGCATTTTTATTGACTACTTAAGACATTAACAAAATTTCTGAGGTTTTCATACTCAACTCGTTCTTAAACTTTAGCTGAAGTTTTTACGCTCCAGTAGAGGGATGTCTTTATGGTAAATTCATACTAAATCCAGTATACAATTATTTCACTTTTATCACATTTCTTGTGGGTATGCAACACCATCCCTATTTTGTCACTGCTGCTGAAAATATAAATGCTGTTATTTCCCTCTTGAGGGTTACTGGGAAGCCTGAAAGATTAGTTTCACTACCCCTGACACCCTGGGTTTTTTTCAATATACAAATCCCATTTGCATTTGGCCACTAGACTTACGCAGTATTAAAGCTATAATGTACATTTCTTCAGCACTATATAAATATAATCTAATTTAATACTGCAAATCAGCAGACTGACTTCCAGTACTAGATTATTCATCTCTCTGCTCTAGAATCTGGTCTCCAAGCGATTTCTTCAAAATCTGTCACATACCTATTCCTCTGCTCAAATAAGTGATCTTCTTACTGCTATTACTGGCTTGTTTGTCTTTCATTCTGCCTATTGCATTGCCACAGAGCATGCCTGTTCTAACTTACTAACAAAAGGTGTATTTAAGAGCTACGCATTTAGTTCGGTTAGTGACTGAGGGAGAAAATAACCCCTGTGCAACAGTACTCAAAGATGCCAGCAGTTAATTTATCTCCCCACACCTAAGAGGGAAGAGAAGTTTATCGTTAAAAAATACTCCTTATGCATTATAAAAGGTGAAAACAGAAAATGGTTCTTTTTTGGTACAAACGGCTAGGAGCGGTTTAAACTCTCTATGTAACAAAGGGCTGTGAAGCCTGTGTATCTAGTCTTGCTGTCCAACCGACAAGTCTAAGCAATATGTAGACCTCTAAAGAGAGCTGTTTGCCATGTCACTCAGTATTGACAGATATTGGCAGATAACCAATTGATAAAAGTTTTTTATAAATACAAGCTTTATAATTTAACATCCATATGAATGGCTTTGAATATTTGAAATTGTTCCTATTCAAGTGAATAAAATCTGACTATTTCTCTTGTTTAATTCACCTGGTTATTATTTTAATATCAACAAACAAAACAAGGGCAGTGCAAGTCATAATGTGGCTTGCTATGGTAATGGATCAAAACCTGAAGGACTTCCAGCAGTGTAGGAAAGTAAGGTTTCCTTGCTTTGGCTACCAAATATTCTAAGCAATCTGCCTTCTCCCTCTAGCTGTGCTATTTAAATTGTTTGGATTTTTTCCCAGTTTACCTTTTTTTTCTGCATCATTAAAGCTGCATAATCTCAATAGAAGGGTGCAGCCAAGGACGAAAATTCTCAGATATGTACAGAGCCTAACATCCCTAAATCTTTCTTTCATGACTTGGCTTATATTTCTGTTCTTTGTGGTCTTCCCATGTATCCATTAGTTCCATTGTGACTTTCAGATGGGGACAGAGAAATAGCAAGAACTGAGTTAGCAGGCGACTGTTTAAGGTACGGACAACAAAAAAATCCTGCCTGTGTCTCCAGGAATGAAGGCACTGATTAGCACTAAATTTTACACTGCAAGTGCAAGGCCCTGTAGCCAACCGGAAATGATGAATGCTTTTGTGCTTTGGGAGAAGCAAGCTTCAAATTGTGCTTTCACAAGATGTGCTGTGCATGTACCTTATACATTTACTTGTAATGCACGTTACTGCCCACTTTTGTATGAAATCACATAATTTTGACAGAGTGCCAGAAATTTGACATAATGCCATGCAGTTTCTCTCTCTTGTAACCTTTTGTAACCCTCTAAACAAGGCTGGTGCACTTTCATTTAAGCACAGATTATTGCCACATAATGTTGCAAAATTAAGACACATTGACATTCACCTTAATGGTATTGTTTCAGTGTCACTCTAATGTAAAGTTTTTACAGTCCATAAATCAAAATATGTTCAAGCATATGATCCATTTATCCATGTTCGTAAATGTAGTTACTACGAGACAGGTATATCTACTGCCTGCCTGCTGCTTTACTTGATTTTGATGTGAAACAAGACAGTCATTAACAAGTCAGAAGTAAAACAACAAAAAATCAGTACAAAATAAAACGTCTACTTATATAGCATTGTATGTGGGATCAAGTGAAAAGTTTAAAGGTTTTTTTTAATATTAAAAATATAAAACATATTGCTCTTCAGGATCTGAGTTTGGGTGATGCTGTAAGTGAGACCTACTTTCTCATAGTACTTGATCTCGTAGTCCAGAATGGCTCCAGGGGGAAAGTCCGGCTCTTGCCAGGAGAGGGCAATGCTGTTTTGGGAAGCCCAGTCCTTCCTTACCATACCTATCAAGGAGGGTGCTGAAAGGGAAAAGGATAACTAAGGGTTAAAGACGAAGCACACCATTTATCCTTTCAACCTACTGTCTTAGGATACCAACCCGAGGTAACTTTGTGTGACCTCCAGGCAGAAAAGCATGACAGATGGCAATTCTCAGGGAAACCATATAACCTGTAATTAATGTCTCAAGTACATACCAGTAACTCCTTTGTTAAAGTGCAGACCAGCTTCTGAAAAATGGCTATATACAAAAACATAGAAAGAAGCACCTGTGCTGGTGCCCACCACTGGCTGCGCGCAACCAGGTTGCACTGCTGGCTCCGAGGACATCGCGTCCAGAGCAGAACCGTGTTTCAGAGACAGTAAATTCTACATTCTGGATAATCTGCATTAAATGTCATAATTCAGCTGTGTAAAATGTACATTCAGTTTACTCTTTGGGGTAAAATAAAGTGACACAGCTTAAAACAGACGCAATGAATCCTGTTTCTGCTAGCTGGGCTGGCAGCAGCAAGGGCATTTTAGCCCATCAGTGAGGTAGCTGTGTGCACAGAAGAGCCAGCTTGCTAGAGGAGGCCAGTGGCAGGGATTGGGTTACAGGCAAACCGTGGGGGCAAAGGTGCTCCCAAACCTACCTGCTGTAATTGATACTGCAGGTCTGCAGCAGAGCAGTGAGTAGGAACCACTTCCAGCAGCTTTTGGAAAGGGCCCAACATGGGTAGATGCACCCAAGAGCCAAATTATCTCACTATGGGGTTAACCAGTTTTAAGAATTGGATTTTCTGCCCTTTTGGAAAAGAAGGTGCACTGTTATCTATGCAATAATTTCAAATGGTGCAAAAATCGCATTCTAGAAAATGATCTTTGCTTATTTTATTAATCTGGTCAAGCATGTCAAAGGAGGTGTAATATTCTCCAGACACTAATGCTGTTTTAATAGTATTGATGTGCAGCTTTCCCAAATGTTACAACAAAACCAGTCACGTTGTTCAACAGTCTTGAAGACAACTGAGTAAGCTGAACAAACCAGCTACCATAAAAAAAAAAAAAGTTCTTCCAGTGGTTCACAGCTTTCGCTCTTTGTCTTTCCACCAACAAATATCCGTTTATTACACACCCTCCCCCATTCCTCTCTATTATGAATCTTACTTAACCTCTTCTAAGCTACCAAGGAGCTGTCTCCTAAAAATAACACGTTTTTATGACTTCCGCTTTTATCTTTTGAATGAAAGAGTCTCCCTAGGAAAACGAAATAAGAATCTGCTTCTAGTCACAAAATTTCATGCCTTAGTTTTCTTTCCTGTAAATATTTCAGGAAGTTTAAGAAATGAAAACAATAAATAAATTCTAGACTGCAAACAAACAGTAAAGAAAACAAAACCGGTTGTTTTCCTTTGAAAAAAGGGAAACTCTACACACAGACATGCACATAACAATCCTTCTCTGTGACAGTGCATTTATCCGAGAGAGAGAAAATAAACTTCCATCCACCGCCAATCTTCCCTTATGGATAACTATTCTGTGGTATAATAGTCCAGTCTTCTCTGATGTGAAAAAAACCAACTCAACATGTAACACTAAATGAAAAAACCTACCAAAAGTATTAAGTGGACAAAACAGAGCTTACACAGGAAACTGTCCTACGCCTGTACTTATGCCATTTTAACCACAGCTCTGATGCAAGGGAATGACAGAAAAAAAGAATTCCTGTCAAGCTGAATAAAAGATTAACCTATTTTTCAGGAAGTCCTTAAACAGCATCATGTAAGTAACTGAGTAGAACAAAATACACATAAATAAAAAGCATTTATAGGTTCAGGGCCAAAATGTTATCCCTGGATATGTATAACTACTCACTGAGTTAAAATGAAATTTTTACTCTTGAAATTGAGGGTGAAGCTGAGCTCTCGCAATATTTCTCTGGGGTAAAATCAGCTACTCCAAGCAGGGAACAAAGATAGGTCTGTTTAAAGGAAAACAGGAGCTAGCAAACATGGATTTGTATTTGCTAAACACTGATCATGGGCCTACGAGGGCAATTGCTCATATACATTTGTTTACCATTTGCTGGGTTTGAGTCATTCACTGGTATTGAGCTGTCATTTACGGGTGGGTCTGAGGGAGCTATAGCAACCTTTCGGACACATCTGATACACCCTGTGCGCCTGCTCACGGGTGAGGGACATCGGCTGGGCCACCTTCCCTGGCACATCATGGCTTCATCTCATCACATTTGGGGGTTCACTGGTCAGACAACCAAATCCTCGCAAAATGATCGAGCTTGATTACAGAAAACACCAGGTTAAACTGTGGATATAATTATATTCTTGGCCCTTCTAGGCTTTTTAAATGTAGATTACTACTATTAGACTTCTTCAAATTATGACCTAGCCTTTATAAGCTTTTCATATATACCATATGTGGTGCATTTTTCTTTGGGTTCCGATTTCCAAATTTACACAGTAATTTATGCATGTTTTCAGCCTGAGCTTACCACAGCAACTCTTCCATTTGAGCAAGCCCATGTCAAAACACAGTCCTGGCACAACAGAAGATCATCTCAAATGTTCAGTTTGAGAAGTAGCCTATGTCTTCTCCCTGGGAAACAACTTGGCAGTGAAATAATGGAAGAAAATTACTTCAGCCCTCTCCTAAGCCAGCTGTGCTTGACCTGCACTTGAAACTGAAACCCCCATACAGCAAGGCTCACATCACACCTGTAGCACTGTGCCAGCACTGCATCTTCTAAATCAACATGTGAAGGTGTGTACATAAGGCTGTGAATATGAGAAGCTTATTTGTGTTTGTATTAGGGTACTGGGCAAAAAAACAAGTGTACTTTTTAACAGAAAGTCACAAAGGAGTCGTCATTAACCATTTCTTGTATGTTCAGGAGGATGATCCTCCTATTTGTCATACAGAGGTTACCTATTCACATCTCAGAGGAAATAATGACTTTTAGGAAAAAGATTCCAGTCAGAAATCTATTGTACAAAGACAGAGACAAATAAACCCAAGTAATTAAAAGCTGCAGCTAGCTCAGTTTCTATTTCTTTAGTTGTTGTGAAGTGCTACTAAAAGCAATACTTTCTACGGAGAAATTTCAGCTTCTTATAACAGTTGCTCACTAGAGCAGAAGTTATTTAGACCCTAAAGATCCTATCCATTTATTGTTAAAGCTCTTTTTAACTTTAAAACTGTACAATAGGTAAATCCTATTTGCCCATTTATAAAGACTGCCCTAATGTTCCTATGATGAATCAATGGGAAGTTCTTTTAATTAGTTGTTTCAAATCCAGTAGCTGCAGGAGAGCTCTAATTTGGTTACCCAATGAAACCATTTGAAAAAAAAAATGCTTAGAAGCGCAGCATGGCTTTTAATCACTTTAATGGCAGCATTTTCTTGCCATTGGTACTAGGCTGAAGGATGGTGTCTGGCTCTTGAGCTCAGTGCTGATCTCTGTTTTGTACTGAGGATTCTTTGCACCATCTGGTCTCTCTGTTTTCCTCTACACTGTTATAAATTTCTTGAATTGCGATGAGTCATCTACAATGCTGTGAGCTCCTAATTTAATTTAGTCTGATAAGTTTCTTTGTCTTTTCAAATTTGTATTGAATAATGAAAGTTCATTCCCTAATTCAGAGTGAGCTTATTTTATTCTAAATCTCTTTGGCTTCTCTTTTTCAGAATTCCTTTCTCATACACTACACAAAGGGCAGAATTCCAGTGTCATTTCTCTAGAGACTCTTCTGCTGAAGTTGACTTCCATTATCTTTAACTGTCTGATTTCAAAATAGGTGATCTGTAGGGTTTCTGAAGCTTTTTTCCTTTAGTCCATTTTCTAATTTTCCAATTTCTTGTTTCATACTGTTTAAAGCAGGCAAAGAATTTCCAGCATTTCTCCCCTGGTCTCCAGGGTTGAACAATTTTGATAGGGTGCCCATTCACTCTGAAGAGGCTTCAGACTCAACGGCAGCTGACGACAAAAGCTCACCTGATGTCTGTCTGTACATGAAGCACTCTACCCCTCTGGTATCTCATTTCAAATCTTACTTCTTTGGTGAAGGGAAACCATGACAGCTCAATGGCCTTTTACTGGCTGACAGAACAGGCCCTACCAGGCACGCACAATCACTTTCTTGTTAAAAAACCCTACCATTCAACAAACAAGAACAGCTACATCATCGTTGTTCTCTTCCCTCCTTCCCCCCTGCATTGTGTCTGTTATGGCCAAGGCCAATGAATTGCTGGCAGATAGAAATTTGGAGGGGAGGGAAGGGTGATCTGAACTGTACACATGTTGTGTTGAGGACTGCAACCTTACTCCTTTGGACACCATCATCATGAGAAGGCTGTGAGTCTCGATGTATAAAATACTGCCATTTGGGATAATGTGGTCTAAGTTAGTTAGACATTTCTATACCTCTACCATTACCAATAATAATCTGAATTGGATAATTACATGCTGTTCTTTCCTCAAAACCTCCGCCTGCTTCAAGGCACAGGAAAGACCATACTCACCAAAATATAGGGCTTTATCACGTTTTCTGAGTAGCGGTTTCCCAGTAGATGAGGGAATCCAGCCCCCTCCCTGCCTCTTCTTTCTCTCCTACCTCAGCCACTTCCCAACTGCAGTTGGGGGAAAATACTGACTGAGGCCCACTCAGCAACCTTGCTTTTCTTTGAAAACTCATTAATTGATCTCTCCTAGTCTCATACAATATAGTTAGAGGAGGAAGCCTGCTTTAACATCCTGCAGGGAGCCTGCATTCCTCTTGTTGGGGAACAATTTCTTTCTTTAACGGAAGGACAGATGAGGGTGGAAGAAATATCAATGCTGTGAGGACTAATTTAGGTTGACTTGGGTTTCATGTCTGTGTCGGTCAGAAAACAAAAGAAGACTGTTTTCCTGTTGGTTAAGAGAAAAGGACTTTTTCAAGCTTATATCATAGGTTAATGGCACGAATTAAATCACACAGTAAACTATGCTTAATGCTACGAAAGCTATGGTTATCTAAT